CTTTACAGGTACAAGGTACACATTACTACTACACTTTACACTTTACTGGTGCAAGGTACATATTACTACTACACTTTACAGAGACAAGGTACATATTACTACTACACTTTACAGGTACAAGGTACACATTACTACTACACTTTACACTTTACTGGTGCAAGGTACATATTACTACTACACTTTACAGAGACAAGGTACATATTACTACTACACTTTACAGGTACAAGGTACACATTACTACTACACTTTACACTTTACTGGTGCAAGGTACATATTACTACTACACTTTACAGAGACAGGGTACATATTACTACTACACTTTACAGGTACAAGGTACACATTACTACTACACTTTACAGGTACAAGGTACACATTACTACTACACTTAACAGGTACAAGGTACATATTACTACTACACTTTACAGGTGCAATGTACACGTTACTACTACACTTTACAGGTACAAGGTACATATTACTACTACACTCTACACTTTACAGGTACAAGGTACATATTACTACTACACTTAACAGGTACAAGGTACATATTACTACTACACTTTACAGGTACAAGGTACATATTACTACTACACTTTACACTTTACAGGTACAAGGTACATATTACTACTACACTTTACAGGTACAAGGTACATATTACTACTACACTTTACACTTTACTGGTGCAAGGTACATATTACTACTACACTTTACAGGTACAAGGTACATATTACTACTACACTTTACAGGTACAAGGTACACATTACTACTACACTTTACAGGTACAAGGTACACATTACTACTACACTTAACAGGTACAAGGTACATATTACTACTACACTTTACAGGTGCAATGTACACATTACTACTACACTTTACAGGTACAAGGTACATATTACTACTACACTCTACACTTTACAGGTACAAGGTACATATTACTACTACACTTAACAGGTACAAGGTACATATTACTACTACACTTTACAGGTACAAGGTACAAGGTACATATCACTACTACACTTCACAGGTACATATCACTACTACACTTCACAGGTACATATTACTACTACACTTTACACTTTACTGGTGCAAGGTACATATTACTACTACACTTTACAGAGACAAGGTACATATTACTACTACACTTTACAGGTACAAGGTACACATTACTACTACACTTTACAGGTACAAGGTACACATTAGTACTACACTCAACAGGTACAAGGTACATATTACTACTACACTTTACAGGTGCAATGTACACATTACTACTACACTTTACAGGTACAAGGTACATATTACTACTACACTTTACACTTTACAGGTACAAGGTACATATTACTACTACACTTAACAGGTACAAGGTACATATTACTACTACACTTTACAGGGACAAGGTACATATTACTACTACACTTTACAGGTACAAGGTACATATTACTACTACACTTTACAGGTACAAGGTACATATTACTACTACACTTTACACTTTACAGGTACAAGGTACATATCACTACTACACTTCACAGGTACATATTACTACTACACTTTACATATTACTACTACACTTTACAGGTACAAGGTACACATTACTACTACACTTTACAGGTACAAGGTACATATTACTACTACACTTTACAGGTACAAGGTACACATTACTACTACACTTTACATTTTACAGAGAGTGGTACATATTACTACTTCACTTTACAGGGACAAGGTACATATTACTACTACACTTTACACTTTACAGGTACAAGGTACATATTACTACTACACTTTACACTTTACAGGTACAAGGTACATATTACTACTACACTTTACACTTTATAGGTTCAAGGTACATATTACTACTACACTTTACAGGGACAAGGTACATATTACTACTACACTTTACACTTTATAGGTACAAGGTACATATTACTACTACACTTTACACTTTATAGGTTCAAGGTACATATTACTACTACACTTTACAGGTACAAGGTACATATTACTACTACACTTTACACTTTATAGGTACAAGGTACATATTACTACTACACTTTACAGGTACAAGGTACATATTACTACTACACTTTACACTTTACAGGTACAAGGTACATATCACTACTACACTTCACAGGTACAAGGTACATATTACTACTACACTTTACAGGTACAAGGTACATATTACTACTACACTTTACACTTTACAGGGACAAGGTACATATTACTACTACACTTTACACTTTACAGGTACAAGGTACATATTACTACTACACTTTACACTTTATAGGTACAAGGTACATATTACTACTACACTTTACAGGGACAAGGTACATATTACTACTACACTTTACACTTTACAGGTACAAGGTACATATTACTACTACACTTTACACTTTACAGGTACAAGGTACATATTACTACTACACTTAACAGGTACAAGGTACATATTACTACTACACTTTACACTTTACAGGGACAAGGTACATATTACTACTACACTTTACACTTTACAGGTACAAGGTACATATTACTACTACACTTTACACTTTATAGGTACAAGGTACATATTACTACTACACTTTACAGGTACAAGGTACATATTACTACTACACTTTACACTTTACAGGTACAAGGTACATATTACTACTACACTTTACACTTTACAGGTACAAGGTACATATTACTACTACACTTTACAGGTACAAGGTACATATTACTACTACACTTTACACTTTACAGGTACAAGGTACATATTACTACTACACTTAACAGGTACAAGGTACATATTACTACTACACTTTACACTTTACAGGGACAAGGTACATATTACTACTACACTTTACACTTTACAGGTACAAGGTACATATTACTACTACACTTAACAGGTACAAGGTACATATTACTACTACACTTTACACTTTACAGGTACAAGGTACATATTACTTCTACACTTTACACTTTACAGGTACAAGGTACATATTACTACTACACTTTACACTTTACAGGTACAAGGTACATATTACTACTACACTTTACACTTTACAGGTACAAGGTACATATTACTACTACACTTAACAGGTACAAGGTACATATTACTACTACACTTTACACTTTACAGGTACAAGGTACACATTACTACTACACTTTACACTTTATAGGTACAAGGTACATATTACTACTACACTTTACAGGGACAAGGTACATATTACTACTACACTTTACACTTTACAGGTACAAGGTACATATTACTACTACACTTTACACTTTACAGGTACAAGGTACATATTACTACTACACTTAACAGGTACAAGGTACATATTACTACTACACTTTACACTTTACAGGGACAAGGTACATATTACTACTACACTTTACACTTTACAGGTACAAGGTACATATTACTACTACACTTTACAGGTACAAGGTACATATTACTACTACACTTTACACTTTACTGGTGCAAGGTACATATTACTACTACACTTTACAGGTACAAGGTACATATTACTACTACACTTTACAGGTACAAGGTACACATTACTACTACACTTTACAGGTACAAGGTACACATTACTACTACACTTAACAGGTACAAGGTACATATTACTACTACACTTTACAGGTGCAATGTACACATTACTACTACACTTTACAGGTACAAGGTACATATTACTACTACACTCTACACTTTACAGGTACAAGGTACATATTACTAGTACACTTAACAGGTACAAGGTACATATTACTACTACACTTTACAGGTACAAGGTACAAGGTACATATCACTACTACACTTCACAGGTACATATCACTACTACACTTCACAGGTACATATTACTACTACACTTTACACTTTACTGGTGCAAGGTACATATTACTACTACACTTTACAGAGACAAGGTACATATTACTACTACACTTTACAGGTACAAGGTACACATTACTACTACACTTTACAGGTACAAGGTACACATTAGTACTACACTCAACAGGTACAAGGTACATATTACTACTACACTTTACAGGTGCAATGTACACATTACTACTACACTTTACAGGTACAAGGTACATATTACTACTACACTTTACACTTTACAGGTACAAGGTACATATTACTACTACACTTAACAGGTACAAGGTACATATTACTACTACACTTTACAGGTACAAGGTACATATTACTACTACACTTTACACTTTACAGGTACAAGGTACATATCACTACTACACTTCACCGGTACATATTACTACTACACTTTACATATTACTACTACACTTTACAGGTACAAGGTACACATTACTACTACACTTTACAGGTACAAGGTACATATTACTACTACACTTTACAGGTACAAGGTACACATTACTACTACACTTTACATTTTACAGAGAGTGGTACATATTACTACTTCACTTTACAGGGACAAGGTACATATTACTACTACACTTTACACTTTACAGGTACAAGGTACATATTACTACTACACTTTACACTTTACAGGTACAAGGTACATATTACTACTACACTTTACACTTTATAGGTACAAGGTACATATTACTACTACACTTTACAGGTACAAGGTACATATTACTACTACACTTTACACTTTACTGGTGCAAGGTACATATTACTACTACACTTTACAGGTACAAGGATGTGAGGATTGAGCCCCTGTTTACACCTATAGAATCAGCCAACTTCCTACAAAAGGGTAACAATGCTGATAAGGCTAGGTTCGATATATCAGCAAGAGGAGTGTGGAGCACATTTGAGAGGACTTTCTTTGACGTGCGCGTTTTCAATCCCAAATTGCCTTGAACATATCAAGGAAAGACCATGCCACAGTTCTACACTCTGCACGAGAATGAGAAAAAGAACCAGTACATGAACCAAAAGCCCCTCTTCAAAAATCTTTCAATCTGAACAAAAAATGTGGTGGTCTTTCCTCCCTGATAATTTATTGAATACTGCAACAAAAATTATATTTCAACATTATTTACGTACAAATCATTTTAGTTTGAATGTGATGCCGGGGAGACACAATCTACTCGAGGCAAATGATGACATGGGGTCTGAAGATGGATACTATGAAGATGATTACTTACCAAAGTAAGATGATTTCTTAAGTTACTGAACATTGATTTTTAAAGACCCTTGCTATGAGTAATTTGATTTACAATTATATGTGATACTGAAAAGATTCAACATTATTATCATATAGCTCTAAACCATTCACAATTATATTAAAATAACTTTTTTGTATTTCAGGGTAGATAATCTGAGAGCAGATGGTTACGAGGAGGAGTTTAAGAAAGCTATTTCAGTTCTTGAACAGAAGCACAAACACCCCAGAAATGGAGAAGTTCACAACATTTGGTGAGAAATGAGCAAATAAATACAGAAATTGTACAGTTATACAGTATTATACGTACAATATAGCCTGAAATCTAGTCATTACAGCTCATTACATTACATCGTAAAAAACCTAAAAGCTGTGATGTTTTGTTTTACACATAAAAGAAGTCCATGCACAATGCACATGCAGATATATTTACATAAAGTAAAGTAAAGTAAAGTAAAATTTATGACATCACATCATCACACATGTCTACAAACTATCATCGCACTGTGTGAAAAAATATATAATAAATATTTCCCCACCAACATTAATTAATTATCAAATACAATATTTAAAAACAATTTCATCAAAAACATTATCCTATTTTAAAAACTTCCCAGTGGAATAAAGATTTATAAAACGCTTCTTTGCCACATAAGGATGGAACCAAAGATAATTGTTATGTTTCTCTTTATTACTGACATAACTGGCTCCCTCAATTCTTACTAAAACTTCATTAGAAACATTCCAAAAAAAGCAATCATTTGTAATACTTTTAGAAATCATATCTATCTTATATCTTTCTAATTTTATTTTAAAACCTAAAACTGTCACAGAGTTCTTGACGTCCGGAGGGAGTTTGTTCCAATATGGAATAACTCGCTCCGGGAGAAAAGACTTCTGGATATTCTTGACCTTTGTCACACTTTTACTACATCTATTGGATGAAACCAGATTAAGACCTGATCTGCTTGGTCTGAACATGTCTGAACCATAATCAGTCATACCATTAATAACCTTAAAAGCTTCAATAAGGTCCCCACGTATTCGCCGCTCTGCCAGCGTTGTCAAATTGAGGATTTCCAGTCTACGGCTGTAAGGAACATATGTTGGCTTCAGAATCATGCGATAGTATGAATATGTTCTATAAAATAGTTAGCTGATGTTTGATATAGCATGAACGAGTAATTGTTATTAATTATTATTCAGCTGTTATTACTTATGTAAACTAATTACAACACTACAAATCTATTACATTTATTGAGGTATGAGATATGATAGACGAGCGTAAGTGTTGACGTGCAAAGGACTGCTGTGAGTGTACTTGAAGATTACTCATCCTCCTCCTTCTCATCAAAACTATTCTCATCAAAACTACTATCTGGACTGAAGGTATTGCGTTTACAGTGTTTATTGTGCTTCTGAACATTGAACTCTTGATAATATAACTATGTCAAATAATCAGAGCTCAGACATTAGTCTCCACTCTTGTGAGCGCCCTTTAGAACATTTGAACTTTTCATTCCAGTCTGAAAAATCAGAGAACTGTAACAATTGTCTGTCAAAAGACATCAAGATTGACTTTTTAGAAAAAAAGTTGTCTTTATTGAATGAAATTATCAGAACTAGTGATCTCATTGCTCAGTACAATGATAGTCTCATATCAGATCAAACTCAAATACAAGAACAGAGTTTTAAGTGTGAAAAGTTGCTGCCAAACTTATCAGAGGAGATTGAATGTGAGATCATAACCATTACCCCTCAGTCACACGTTGTTATCAATCAAGTAGAAGCGTTTGATGTAGATGACATTGTTGTGGAAGATGTTGTATCGGACAGTTTGTTTGTTGACAACGATGTCGTGGACAAGGTTGTTCCACAGGAGGTTGTTGGAAACGAGATTGTTATCAGTGAGATTGTTGTTAACGAGGTTATGGCAGACGAGGATGATGTGTCTGATCTCCCTGTATCTACTGCTACTGGTGAATCACGGATCAACACCCCTAAGCCCAGAGACAAATATCCAAACTTGGTCCCTGCCCCTGTCTACGATCCTATAACACCGGGGCCAATGAATATATCTGTAACTTGTTCCCCATCACCAGTGAAACCAGTTACCCTACTAGATGATGGTCCATTCTCTAAATTTTCACTTGATCTATTAATGGAAGAACTTGAGTTCAGTCACGGTTTTAAAAACAGGAAATCGGTTTATTTTGGTGACTTTCCCTATGAGTATTCAGGTGCAACACATGACCCAAAAAGTGTACACAATGATTCCTACCTTGCTAAACTCAGCTCCTACATTAATGTGATATTACCCAATTTCAGACACAATAGTATTCTCGTCAATCTATATGAAACTGGAGCAGAGTTCATGCCAGCTCATAGCGATTCTGAATCATGTATTGTAGAACACTCTGATATTGTAACCATTTCACTTGGTGCGACGAGAACACTGCAAATTAGATCAAACGGCAGCAATGAAGTTGTGGGCTCTGTGCAGCTTCAGCATGGAGATGTCTTCATCATGTCCAAATTGTCTCAGGCTGACTTTCAACATGAGATACTGCCAGACGAAATGTGTGATGAACCCCGGATCAGCATCACCCTAAGACTGATGAAGCCCCCTAGGATCACTCAGTCAACTGAGTTTGGTCTGCGTTCACCGCCCCCACCCATCCCTCATTCAGGACACAAACTGACAGACTCTTCTTCACCTGCACTCTCAGTTTGCAAACAGTCAGCTAAAGCTTCACAAAAGTCTGTCCTATTCATAAGCAGCTCTATGTTCAGGTTTCTTGATGCGGACAAGTTATCATCGTCCACTGTTAGTGCTAGTAAACTGTTTTATCCTGGGGCTGATGCCAAAGTAATGTTAAATAAACTAAAAACTGACCTACACTCTGTTCCATCCCCATCTATTATTTATATTATGACAGGAACTAATAATGTGAACACAGTCTATTTTGGCTCAAAGTCACTGAAGGATGCAGCGGGTGACATTAGTAATCTCTTAAATTATCTCAAGTCAGTGTATCCGAATGCAACAATTAATGTTCTCAATATTCTTCCCAGGAGTACAAAAGGCCGCAATGATGTTGTGGCAGAGCTGAATAAGGTTATTAAGGATATGTGTAGCAAAGATTCTTGTTTTAATTACATTAGCACCCATAATTTATTTAACTATAATAGAAGTGGATTCAGGAAAGAATTTTATTTTGCCAGACCATCTGCAAAAATATCTGATAACTGTCACCTCAATACAAGCGGTGTTATTCGACTTGCTAAATTTCTGAAGTATTGGGCCCATAAGCAAGTTTGAATTTTCAGAAAGATTGTTAACATTTTTTTCATCTAGATAAGGGATAATTACACATTGTTCCTCATGTTTATTGAAGTTTTAGAAAGTTTTGTTATTATCTCATACAAATTTGCCAGTTCTGCAATTTATCTTATTCTGACAAGTTTATAGCAGCATAAATTGGAAAATTTTCATGCTCTCACAGCAGTTCTTGCATTAACCCGTGCATTAGTAAAATCACAGTTTCATACCATGCCAAAAAGCTTGCAGTGGGACATTGCAACATGCAGGGAGGACTAACAGGTTTGCCAAAATGTCTTGAAATCCAAGATCTAATCTGGAAAGAGAAATTAGATGTTTTATGCCTGAATGAAACAAATCTTAAGTCGGATATTGACTCAGCCAGTCTAAACCTACCCAAGAATTTTACTTTTATCCGCAAAGACCGTCCTAACGACAATGGTCATGGGGGATGTGGCATTCTCATCAGTGAGCACATAAAGTTTAAAATGATTCAACTAAACTTAGTTTTGCAATATGACCAAATCGAGGCTATTTGGATCCATCTTACAGATTGCAATATTTTCATCTGCTGTTTCTACAGATCTGAGTTGTTTAGTCCTCTTGACAAATTTTTAGATTATATGACAGACTGCATGATGAGTATAGGAAGTAAGAATGTTATTTGGCTGGGTGATGTAAATGTAGACCAAAACAACATCAGCAGTATGAACTATAAGAAATTAGACATTACAATGAAAATGTTTGGAATGGTACAGGTAGTTCAGGATATTACCCGCATTGCTAAACTAGGAAACAGAATCACAAAGACCACAATCGATGTTGTCATAACAAACACTTACTCCAAGTTTCTTGACTGCAAAGTCCTTGATGATTGTATAGGAGATCATCAGGTCGTTAAGTTCATTGTCGATTTCAATGTGCATAAGGCCTCAAAATTCAAGAAGTTACTAATAAGAGATCACAGCAAAATGAATGTTACTGCTCTTAAAGAATTTTTGGAAACTTGTGATTATAGACCAATAATAGATTCAACTAGTCTGAATGATGCAGTTGATGGTTTAAACGAACATATTGATCACTACTATGATCACTTCTGTCCAATTAAACAAATTAAGTGCCATAGTGATTACATCCATAAGCCATCTCCAGAATTTTTAGAAAGTAAGAAATTGAAAGGGAAACTTTACCGTAAATTTTTAACACACAACAAGAACAGACGTATACATCCAAATGGTCTTATACACTGTAATAAATGTGACTCATTATGGATGGCATATAAACGGCAGAGAAACTATTCAACCTATTTGTCTAGAATTAATAGGAAGACTAACTTAGCAACAAAACTGAAAGCCAAGTGTGCCATGAATGATCTAAAGGGTGTATGGAAAACGATAAAGACAGCATCAAATCTGCCTGTTAAAGCTAACAATATCAATAACAATCTTGATGCTGAAACCACCAATAAATATTTTGCTGAAATAGGTCCAAAGATCCAAGCAGAAGTGCAGCTGGAAAATGAAAATGAATTTCTATCTTATCTACAAAATGAGCAGATTGACAACGAGACCAGCTTGAATAGCTTTACTGAAATAACTGAGTCCAATATCTTAGACTATGTGGCAAGTATCCCTTGTAGCAAATCCACTAATGATCATATACCATTGAGAGTGTTTAGACAAATTTTACCTGCATTTATTGCTCCATTAACACATCTTGTAAATTTGAGTTTATCCAGTGGCATCATGCCAAACAGCTGCAAGGTTGCAAAAGTCACCCCAATCCATAAGGATGGTGATACTGAGAATCCTAGTAATTATCGACCAATCTCAATTTTACCGATTCTTGGAAAGTGCATCGAATTTTGTGTGAACTCCCAACTGACTCAATATCTTGATGAAAAGGGAATACTTTCAGAGCATCAATATGGTT